CCTACCAGCAATTGTGCTCCTAGGGATTCACTCTAGAGAGATGAAGTTTTCTTCAAACAAAACCCTACATACATACGTTTACAGCAGCTCTCTGCATAATCACCAGAGGCTGAAATAATCCAGACGCCCTCCCACAGTGGATGGACATACTTTGGACGTCCAGACCACGACATCAAAAAAGGATGTGTGCACGGATGAGGGGCAAAGGCACTGTCTCAGTGACAGAAGCCAGTCTCAGAGGTTCTATGCTGCAAATTCCATTTTCATGACATTTGGGAGAAGGCAGAACTTCTAAGGATGGGGAAGAGATGACTGGTCACCAGGGAGGCCTGACTAGGAAGGGCAGCAGGGGGGAGTCTTCTGGATGTTCTGGTGATGGAAGTGCTCTGGGGAGCTGGATTGTGATGATGGTTACAAGAACCACCACATTTTAAAACCTCAGAACTGCACAAAAAAAGTTGATTTCACCATATATATACATTTAAATAATATATTCACATATTATTCACACAACTACTTTGAAATTAAGTAAAAGGTAGAATAAGAGCACTCAGAATTGAATTGAATCAGTGCTTGACACACATTTACTATTAAAAGGTTCATGAGGTGTAGAAGTGAGTATGAGGAATGGCTCTCACCAACTCCAACCAGAATGCGATGCCGCACAGACTTTGCTCTTACAAAATCAAGGAACTACAAAATATAGTATTCGATATTATGGAGTTTTTACTCAATAATTAGGATTTTAGTTATGTAAGAAAAGAATCTTTTAAACAAAATTCCTACTGCAACATTTGGGGATGAAATGACGTGATTTATAGGATTTGCTTCAAGATTCTCCAGAAGCTAACAGTAAAACTGAGCTGGGGTGGTCCCTGATGCTCGTGGCTGGTGCAGGAGAAGTTTTACACTCCACTTGTAAGGTCTGGGCAATGATCTTAATAAAAGACATAGAGAGGGGTGGGGGTGAGGAGGAAGAAGAAGGAGGAGAAGGAAGAGGAGGAGAAGGAGGAGGAGGGTCCCCTACCTGGAGGAGTCTCTGCAGGAGCAACCTCATTGTTAAGCATGAAAGACAGGAATGATATTTCCCTGGTCTTTCTTCATCAGGGGTTCATCATTTACATGGGCACAACTGAAGTATCAGAAAGACTGGAAGAGGAAATAGCTGTTTTCTAAGGGAACCTGGATCACAAAATTGACCTTGAAAACTATTCACTGGTAAAGAGATACTGGAACTTACGAGGCCACAGAGAAATTTTTGAACATAAAACCTGCTCTTTTCTTTTTTTTTTTTTTTAAGAGAGAGAGAATTTTTTAATATTTATTTTTTAGTTTTCGGCGGACACAACATCTTTGTATGTGGTGCTGAGGATCGAACCCGGGCTGCACGCATGCCAGGTAAGCACGCTACTGCTTGAGCCACATCCCCAGCCCAAAAACCTGCTCTTTTCTACTGGGGATTCTAATCCCAAGCAATTCCAGTGGTAAACTACTCTAGACACCAGTTTGTCACGGGTGACTTTGTTACAGACATTCTTCAGAAGTTACATGAGAAAACACTCGCTTATGCCACCACTGCAGGTTGCATATCCCTTATCTGGAACCCACAGGTCCAGAAGTGTCTCAGATTTCACGGTTTTTCAGATTTGGGGAAATTTGCATGGGGTGAGCATTCCTGATCTGTAAATCTGAAATCCAAAATGCTCTGAAATCCGATACTTTATCACTCAAAAATTGTCAGGTTTTGGAACATTTCTGATTTCTGGGTTAGAGATGTTCAACCTGGGCCAATGGAATTCGAAATGTGTGTTCAATTTGCTAGTCAGCACAGATGGAAAGTGACAATGGAGACTAGAGAAGCTAGTAAGAAGCAGTATGTAACTGAGCTTCTGGAAGGTTCTTGCAGTCAGCAGATCCAGAGTGTGTCACACCTGACTTAGGCCCAGGGACCTGCACACCTGGCTCACCTGCAAATCTGGCTTCTGCTCTAAGAGCTTGCTGGTCGTGACTCCTCACTTAACTGTCACACTGACAGTGACCTGGTCTTTTCAAGTACTCCTGGGAATACGGTCAAACAGTTCTCTATTCATTTATCAGGTGGTCTGACTCCCACTAGTGAGTTTGTATCAGGCTTCATCAACGCTACCTAACTTCACAGAAACCAAAATCAAGGCAGAAAGAGTCTTCGAAGCAGGCAGCTGTGATTATTTCCTAAAATGATGAAATGAGGAAGGCACAGGCTTATTAAATCAGAGTTCCCAGTCCCGCAGCCCTGGGTTTTAACATGCAAAATTCACCCATCCCCTGAGGGACACGATCACACCCTTAAACAGGTAAAAGAGCTGCAGCAGCAGACACACCAGCAGAGTGCTCTGCTCCCGAGAAGATGAGCAGTGCACGCCCCTTCTCTCCTTCTGGTGCTCTTACCCTCCTGTCCTTCCACCGTGGGACGGCCAGCACGAAGGCCCTGCAGACGCAGCCCCTACCCCTCCAGTCTTGGACTTCCAGCCTCCAGAACTGAGAGAAATAAATCTCTACTCTTTACAAGTTACCCGGCCTCAGGTTACAACGGCACAAAATGGACTAAGATGCCCTCCTACCAACGCTGAGGCCTGAGGGGCCTGCAGGGCTTCAGCACACCAGCACCTGGAGGGAGAGCAGACGTGGGGACACTCCTTGAGGACAGGGGAAGCTAGTGTTAATGTGTCTGGGCAGCTGCTCTGACCCAGTGGTGGCTGCTGTACTGCAGAGTGAAGCAGAGAGTAAAGGCTCCCCAAAAGGTCCAGGTCCTGACCCTCAGAACCACATGTTCCCTGGCCTGGCCAATGGACCTTGCACCTGTGGGCAAGTGAAGGACTGCAGGTGAGATTACCCTGGAGCATCTGGACGGGCCTGAAGTCCAATGCCAGTTGTCTCATGGGAAGGGAGAGGGCCATGTGATGAAGGACAGACACCGGCACGAGGCAGCCATGAGCAAGAGCAAGGGGTACTGGGAGCCGCCCCTGGCCAGCAGAGGCAGGAGGGATTTCCCCACAGAGCTTCTGGAGGGAGGGCAGCCCTGCCCACTCCTGGGTTTAGATTTTGAATCTCTGTGAACAGGGAGGGAATAAATTTCTGTTTTCTAAGCCTCCCGGTGTGGGGTACTTTGCGATAGAAGACCTGACACTAATATGGTTATGAAGAGAAACAGCCAAGGCCAACAGGGCCTGCCGCTCAGTGTGACATGATCGCAGTGTCACTAAGACAGAAGAACTGCCATGGGAAGCTATGGACTCTCCACCCTGCAGAATGACAGGTAGATACTCTCAAGGTAGCTGCCTAATCAGCCACTGCCCCATTAATATCTGCCTCCCGTGTACAACCTCTAAGTTCAAGACCATGAGCATTTATGAACCCCGCACCCCAATGCTAAACCACCATGTCTCGTGGTCCTAGGTGTAAGACACCTATAAAAACTGAAATGGAGCGATTTTATAGGATTCCTATGAACTTTGACTGGTTTTTACAGGTCTCCTACATATAGAACCATGGGACATCAAGGGTAGCACAGAACTGCCTAACAAATAGCTGTGGAATATGAGCAAATGGGATGAAGGGGGTCTCCCCTACCATTCTTTCTTTTATAAAGAAAATTTGTTTATTATGAGAAGTTTAATACAAAACTAGTATAATGACATAATTAAAGATTCCTCAACTACCCATCTCCAAACCACAACCCTTACCAGCAATGGCCTCATTTTAATGCCAACGGTTGTGTATTTGGACATTATCTGGTGGAAATCGTCCCACTTAGAGAGTCTTCTTTTGCAGAGTCACATGTTCTCTGCTGTAGGGTTGGGATGCTGAATATTCAACCCCCAAAGTTCCACGTGTGAGAAGCTTGGTCCCCAGGGTGATGCCATTGGGAGGTGGTAGAACTGCTAGGAAGTGCAGCCTTATGGGATGTCCTCAGTTCACTGGGCACATGCCCTAGAAGAGGACCCTGGTCTTTTCCTCTTTACTCCCTGGCTTATGAAGTTAGGGTCTGCTCTGCCATGTGATCTCTGCCATGCTATCGGACACAGCCACCAGAGGCCCAAAGCAGTGGGTCTGTCTGATCTTGGATTGGACCTTCAAAACAGTGAGGAAAAATAAATCTTTTTACTTTATAAAATAATTACCTCAAGTATTTTATTATAGTAATGTGAAGCCGAATAATACACCAGCTCTGATCACATGTTCATTTATCTGTATTAACAAGAATTTTAAAAAATCTTGAAATGGGCAGTTCTTTTCCAAGCAAAACAAAACAAAAAATGGAGACTGATATTTTTCACTACACAAAATTAAAATTTTCTGAAGAGCACAAAAACTGTAAGCAAATACAAAAACAATTGAGGGAAAAGAGTTATAGTCTATATGACAAAAGATTAGTATCATTAATATATAAAGAATTTTTATAAATCAATAAGATCAAAACTCAATTCAAAAATTGGTAAAGGAATATAAACACAGTCGCTCCTACTATTCTGTTTTTTTTTTCCCCATAGTATTAGGGATTGAACCCAGGGGCACTCTATCACTGAGATACATTCCTTTTTTATTTTGAGACAGGGTCTTCCTAAGCTAATTAGGAACTTACTAAATTGCTGAGGCTGGCTTCAAATTTGTGATCCTCCTGCCTCAGCCTCCTGAGTCCCTGGGATTATACATAGGTGCCACCACCCCCGGCCCCTACTTTTTCTTTTTTTTTTTTAATTTTTTTGTAGTTATAGATGGATAGAATGCCTTTATTTTATTTGTTGATTTTTATATGGTGCTGAGGATCGAACCCAGTGCCTCACGCATGCTAGGCAAGTGCTCTACCACTGAGCTCCAGCCCCAGCCCCCTACTTTTCTTAAATAACAAAAAGACAAGGGATTCCAACTGGCTCTGTGTGCACTCTCTGTCAGCATATTGCTTCAGCGCCTCTAGAATTTAGGAGTTATGAATAGTCCAGAAAAGAGGAAATAATTCTCACCTGTAAGTTTGTTCAAAGCTGTGTGGCCCAGGAATCCAGGAGCACAGAGAGTCTGAGAGTCTTAAGTTTTTGGCTTTGGAATCCTTCCTCAGGATACAGGAGAGCACGCCTGCCTCACGCAGAGACCCAAAGGTCCATGTGCACCAAGTTTCTGGATCTCAGTCCTGCTGGAGAGAGTCAGGTAAAATAAGAAGTGAGTAAAATGCAGTGTTCAAGGGGATTAAAACAAAAAACCCAATGCCTCTTGGAAGGCAATCTCAAACCCTGGGCTTGGTCCATGGAAGGAAAGTCTCCATTCAGAAGGAATACGTGATCCTCCAGCCCAAGGCACCAAGTAAGCCTGGAATAGAGGGGAGTTCACACAGACCTAGAGGAGGGTTCAAACTCTCAACCTCCCTGAGAAATAACAGCTACAACCTCTCCGACAAATAAGTAAGGAGAGAAGGAAAAAAGTGTATTCACTGCCATCGGGCAAAGCTTATTTTAAGCTTTGGGGCTGGGGCCGAAGCTCCGTGGCAGAGCGCTGGCCTAGCATGTGTGAAGCACTGGCTTTGATCCTTAACATCACATTTAAAAAAAAAAAATTAAAGGCATTCTGTACATCTACAACTACCTTAAATAAATAAATAAATAAATAATAAAAAAAGAATGCTGAGTTTTCAGGATGAGAGTCTCTAAATCTTTTAAAGTTAGATAAATTTATATTTAAAAACATTAAAACCACTCTGAAGTAGTCTTGGTGGAAACGGTAACAATGAATCTGATTGAGCCTTTAGATTTAACTTCCAATTCATAAGAATACAGAGGCTAGAGGAGCAGGTTAAATCATACTGTACAAAGAGCAGTCACATAAACCCAGAAAATAAAGCATTCTACAGGCAACAAACCAAGTGTCATTAGCAAGTCATTAGCATTAAACCCATAGGTTGCTCCAGACCAGGGTCAGCCAACTATGGCCTATGGGTAAGTCTAACCCACCAGGGAGTTTAAAACAAAGCAAAACAACTCTGAAAATGCAACGTTATTTGAACACAGCCAACTCACTGACTTACATATCAGCTATGGCTACTGCGTGACAGAAAGTCACACAGAGACCCCGTGGCCTGCAAAGCTGAGAGTATCTAGCCAACTGCCTGCCCTAGATGAAAATGATAATCAACAAATACCACATGTGGCCCTTGTTTGGCTTATGATTCACACAAACCAACAGTAAAAAGTACATTTCTCTTAGTGACAGCCTGTCTCAAAATAAAAAATAAAAAGAACTAGGGATGTTGCTCCGTGGCTGAGTGCCCCAAGGTTCAAACCCCAGTACCAAAAAAAGAAAAAAAGCATTTTTGAGGCAATCAGGGAAATCTCTCTATGAACTAGGTTTAGAAAACATTAAGGAATTATTGTCAATTTCATTAGGTGGTAATGTTATTATGGTTTTACAAGAAAATGTCCATTTTTTTCAACACCCATAAATCAAAGGCATTTCTGTATATCAGTGACAAATATTCTGAAAGAGAAACAATGAAATTATCCCATTTACAATAGCCTCAAAAAAAAAAAATCTTGGGAATCAACTTAATGAAATAAGTAAAAGACCTGTATAGTGAAAACTATAGAACACTAAAGAAAGAAATTAAAGAAGACCTTAGAAGATGGAAAGATCTACCTTGCTCTTGGATAGGCAGAATTAATATTATCAAAATGACTATACTACCAAAAGCATTATACATATTTTATGCAATTCCAAACAAAATTCCAATGACATTCCTCATAGAAATAGAAAAAGCAATCGTGAAATTCATTTGGAAAAATAAGAGACCCAGAAAAGCTAAAGCAATCTTTAGCAGAAAGAGTGAAGCAGGTGGCATCATGACACCAGAACTTAAACTATACTACAGAGCAATAGTAACAAAAACAGTGTGGTATTGGCACCAAAATAGAATTGTAAACCAATGTTACAGAATAGAGGACACAGAGACAAACCTACATAAATACAGTTATCTTATATTAGACAAAGGCACCAAAAACATATATTGTAGAAAGGATAGCCTCTTCAACAAATGGTACCAGGAAAACTGGAAATCCATATGCAACAAAATGAAATTAAACCCCTCTCTCTCACCTTGCACGAAACTCAACTCAAAGTGATCAAGGACCTAGGAACTAAATCAGAGACCCTGCAGCTAGTAGAAGAAAAAGTAGGCCCAAATCTCCATCATGTTGGATTAGGTCCAAACTTCCTTAATAAGATTCCTGTAGTGCAAGAATTAAAACCAAGACTCAATAAATGGGATGGATTCAAACTAAAAAGCTTCTTCTCAGCAAAAGAAGCAATCAGTGAGGTAAATACAAGGCCTACAGAATGGGAGCAAATTTTTATTTACCACATGCACATCAGATAGAGTACTAATCTCTAGGATATATAAAGCACTCAAAAAACTTAACACCAAAACAAACAAACAACAACAACAACAAAAAAAACACACACAACCCAATCAATAAATGAGCCATCTCAGAAGATGATATACAATCAACAAATATATGAAAAAAATATTCAACATCTCTATAAATTAGAGAAATGCAAATCAAAACTACTCTAAGATTTCATCTCACTCCAGTCAGAACGGCAGCTATTAAGAATACAAACAACAACAAGCATTGGTGAGGATGTGGGGAAAAGGGCACACTCTTACATTGCTTGTGGGCCTGCAAATTGGTGCAACCAATCTGTAAGGAGTATGGAGATTCCTTGGAACACTGGGAATGGAACCACCATTCGATTCAACTATCCATTTCCTTGGTTTATACACAAAGGACTTTAAAACAGCATACTACAGGGACACAGCCATATCAGTGTTTATAGCAGCACAATTTACAATAGCTAAATTGTGGATCCAATCTAGATACCCTTCAGTAGATGAATGGATAAAGAAAATGTGGTATATATACACATTGGAATATTACTCAGCATTAAAAGAGAATAAAATCACGGCATTTAGAGGTAAATGGATGGAGTTAGAGAAAATAATGCTGAATGAAGTAAGCCAATCCTACAAAACCAGATGCTGAATGTCTTCTCTGATATAAGGCTGATTCATAATGGGGATGGGGGGAACAGATGAACTTTAGATAGGGCATAGGGGAGGGAGGAGGGGCATGGGGGTAGGAACGATGGTGGAATGAGATGAACATCATTACCCTAAGTACATGTATGAAAACACAAAAAAATTAAAAAAATAAAAATTAAAAAAGTCAAGAGGTATACTTTGTTCAGGAACAACTCTCTGGAAACTTCTCTGGGCTCCCCAATAAAACTGGAGTGCAGGAGAGGCACACTGTCCCTCTCCTCCTTGAGAACCCACTTTCTCCCTTGAGAGTGTCCCCTTTTCTTTTTCCTATCCTTTGAACAACAAAAACAACAACAAAGAAAATGTCCATTTTTTGAAGGTGGATACGGAACTATTTAGAGGGAAACTGTTATGTTGTCTGGGATAAACCACTTTAAGTTGCTTCAACCAAAAAAAAAAAAAAAAGAAGAAGAATCATTTGATCTATTTGACAGGTATATGGAAATTATACTATTCCCTGTGCTTCTATGTTTGCTTACATTTTTCTTAAAAAAAAAAAAGAAAAAAGAAAAGAAAGGAAGACATCAGAACCTTGAGTAAAAATGAGCTGATCACCAGAGAGCTTTTTCCCCAGGCACCTGTCTGACCAGTCCTCCCCACACTGGGGGCAACCTGGCTGAACTCTTCACTAGTCTCATTTTAAGCATTTTATCTTTGCTCATGGTGTCAACCTCCAGGAATGCCACTTTCCTACAAGAATTTACTCTCTACTCAAGGTCTGGGCCTGGTGTGACCTTCCCTGTTGTCCTCCTGTGTGTGTTCCTCTCCACTCCAACAGCACACTGGATGCCAAACAAACCAGAGACTTCCCATCGCTGGGTCCCTTCTGGAAAGCCATTTGAGGGGGTCCACCAATAGGACACAGAATAACCACAGCCTGCAGCCTTCTGGGTCCAGGGACTAAACAAGGCTGCCTTGCTCTGAGCAGTTTCACTGACCATAGAGTCCTTCAGCTAAGCAATGAATTCCTGGAACCGAGATGCCGGGTGGTCACGCTTAACTGAGGCTCTCCAAATAAAGTCTTCAGTAGCCAAGGTTTACTACCTTCCAAGGACTGCAAATGCTGACAGCTGGAACTGAGAGATCTTAGGAGGTAAACTAAAAAGAAAAATAAACCGATAAAAAATAAAAATAAAAATAAATAGTTTCTGTTTTGTTCACATATTGCTACCTCCTGCCAGCATCACAGTGAATAATCACCTTCTCCAGGACTAGTGTTAGTAGTTAGGTTTCTAGTTGGTAAGGTCAACTAGTATAAAATAATTCCATACAAAAATCCACCAGTTAGAATTTAACTTTGCAAACTCAGCTTTTAAAAGATAAATGCTGTGCACTGAGGAAGAGAGGTTTGCTTATTCAAAAACTTATGGCTTCTTCTGGGAGCTGTTTCAGAAAAAAAGGAGTCCAAACTGCAGGGTTCTCCATAGTGGCACGTCATTACATTGAATGGGGCCAGGGAAGTCTTCATTCAAGAAAATGGACAAAAGCCTGTGTACTGTGCTTAAACCCCACACTTTATATAGGTCAATCCAATTAATTCAGAGATATGCTTTAGTTTTTATTTCGTGATTCCCCCCCCCCCAAACCCCGGGGCAATGAATAACCGACTCTAAACAAGAAAACGAAAGAAAAAAACATAGTCACAATTCTAGTGCATCATCTTATCACTTCAATACTAAGACACTGAACTCAACCCCAGCAGCAAGCTGTGTTCAAAAGACGCCTCTGCTGGGTTCTGAGCGAGCCGGTGGCGTTACCCTGGCCAACAGAGAAGCCGCAACCATGACCGCACTTGAAAGCCAGGAAGAGGATCTCTCCCAAGTCCAGATGTCCCTCGAGTGGCTCCAGGAAACCTAAGAGCGAAGCGCGCAAGGCCAGAAGTTTTTATTTTTCTTCTGTAGGCTTTGGTGTCCTTCAAAACAGCATCTCTAAAATCAAAAGCTGGATTTCTGAAATCGTCCCCGCCTCGATCCTGCCAAAGCGGCCTTGGGGGCGGGTGGCCGTTCACGGGGACGCGGCGCCCACCTGGGCCTGCGGCGGTTTCCGGCTCCTGCGCGATCCCGCGGCGGCCCTGGCCCAACGGCGCCCCGTGCCCGCGCCCGCGCCCGCGCCCGCGCCTCACCTGCGGCCCCCCGCGGCGCCCTGGGACCACGCGCCCGCCGCGGAGCGGAAATGCCCTGCTCGGGCGCCGCCCCCAAGCCGCTCCGGGCGGCGCCCCCTGCAGGCTGCACGCCGCTCCGCCCGACCCTGCGGCGCCCTGGTTCCGGCTGCGCCCTGGGCCTGACCTTGCGGGCCGCCCGCACGCCACGTCACACCTGGCCGCGCGTTGCAACCTCTCCAGGCCGCAACCCGCTCCCACACCTGGGAACGCCACCGCAGACGCAGACTCAGCCACCTCCGAGCTTATTGCTTAGGGGGCAGTGGAAAGGTGGCTTTCACCTGTCCCCTGGACCCAGGACTGAATTTGAGCCCCAGAAACTAGAGGTGCAAGAAACAAAAGCTGAGGGGGGATTTTTCTCCAGAAACGCTATATTCTGGGTTTAAGCAATGTTATTTTGGAGATCCAAGTTACAGGAATGGCATAGAAATGAAGACTACTTCTGTCCCCCTGAGAGACACAGTTAAAGAAATATTATCATTATATATATATATATTGCTAATCGCAATATCCCCCTAATCATTTCCTGCCCCTTCTACTTTTTCATCTATGTCAATTGCTCAAAATTGCTTTATAATCTGATTTTTTATTCAGACATTTCCAACAATGCTGGTGTGGTTCTATTTTGAATGGATATGCAATTCCAAAAGAAATCAAAGATCAGATGCATACAGCACTAAGTTTTATAGAGTTCTTTCTTGTCTTGGGCAACTCAATTAAATTGAGATGTATTAAAAACCTTGTCTAGCATATAGTTTTTAGCGAGTTAATATTTTAAAGAGTAGCGTAATGCTATTTTTTAGAAGGGGAGTAATGCTTCTCTCCTCCTGAGATGATCCTGTCAGCCTAGGAAAATCAGGAAGACAGGTGAATCGATAATTCCTCCAATTAAGGAAAATTAAAAATGATCAGTGATAAGTTGCATTGATTTCCAGAAAAGGCTGGGAAAGCTGGATCTAACATAGATTGAGCTCTGTGGGATGAAATCTTCATTTTAACTATCAAAATGTTTTTTTTTTTCTTTTTTTTTAATTTTTTTTTTATTGGTTGTTCAAAACATTACAAAGTTGTTCTGCTGGATCAAATCCAGGGCCTTGTGCATGGTAGGCAAGCTTTCTACCACTGAGCTACATCTCCAGTCCAATAACATGATTTTAAATAGTCATTTTGGAGTGTGCTTTCAGTCTAAGCAGCACCTGGGTCTTGAAGCATGCACTCTCAAGGCCACACACCTTTCCTACCGTGTTAGCAATTCTGGGGCTGAGGCACAGGGCAGGGCATTTTTATTGGTGATGACGACAGAGGTTCAAGCTTGAGAACCATGGTCTACTAAGGACCTACTGTGCTTCTCATACTTTAATGTGCGTGAGAAGCAACCGAGGACCTTGTTTGAACATGCAGATTCTAGCTTTGCTAGCCAAAAGTAGGATCTAAAATTGCAGATTAACAGCACTTGGTGAGGATTTACTTGTCTATGTGAGCAGTAAAGGCAAGCGTAGGGGCACTCCTCATTAAAAAAAAAAAAAAGTCAAAATTTCCCAAGGGATTGGTTTGCTGAGTGTAGGTAAGGCCTTGGCTTGTCAGTTTAGCATTGGTGGATTACTCAGGAGCTCTTGGCAAGATGACTCTGGTGGATTGTAGGACCAGTTGACTCCTCCAGTCTGTGAGGTTGTGTCTAGCAGCAAAGGTTAGCTCTCCATTGGACTGTTTTTCTGCTCATTCTGGTCCATTTGTTTTACCATTTTACCACCTCCCATGCCCTTCAACAAAGGGTCACACAACTAACAAAACTCCATGCATATGAATTGAATTAAGATGGATCCATACCTTCTGAATTAAAAAGTTTGTGGAGGGGACTTACTGTAAATGTGGCTGTTGAACGGATGACAAGATTTTAAGCTTTTACAATTAAAAATGTGTACACATTCTATGTAACATCCAATAATTAAATATTTGGCAAATGTCATTAAGCAGAATGTACAATGGTACTGGTGGTAAATATTCATGATAAAAAGAATATATGAATGTATGTATACATAATGTGTTTACTTGAACACACGCAAACAACTTAATGAAATAATCATTTTAAAAATTCTAAATTGTATGTAAGTTACCATTTGTCCTGAAATAAAGCAATGAATGTTCTGTGCTGCAAATTAGAATTAGATTATTTGGCTGACATATAAGTGTTAGTTGTAACTTTTTAAACATGTGAACCTTAGTCCATGTCACCTCTTCCAAGATCTATATTAGAACATAGTTTTCATATCCACTACTCCATTAATAGAGTGGCATATTTCTTGAACTTGGTATTGTTTAAAAATGACTTTTCTGGCTGTTTCAGGACTATTAATTTTCTCTCCCATTATCTTGCAAATTCCTCGTGTCACTGACTTCTTTTTATGACTACAGAATGTTTAATGATAGTTCTCTACACATAGCTGGTTTCCGCAAATACTCCTGGAATATCAGATTGTATTTCCGAGTTTTTAACTCATTTAATCTTTATTAGTGAGCATGGTATTTTGATCATTTGAGAGTCATAATTATAGAAATCCAGTGGCTTCTGGAAAATGTGGGAATTGTTATTGGGAAAGAAATAATTCTTTATTTTTTCTAAAATTATTGGATAAGTACTGAAAGCACAGCCTCTGTGTCCTAAAAATGGCCAAGCTACCCACCTACACCACTCACAAGGGTGTTCCCCACACCTTTAATTCTTTTTTTAGTGTTTTTTGAACTTATATAAAAAGCAATGTCTGTCAGAAAAGAAGGTTCATAAAGTATAACCATTATATCTGGCTTCATTTATCCTGAGGCAGCTATAGAGTGAGTTAGATCCTCCTTATCTGTAGAGAGAGGGGTCCCACTTCTGCCATGACAGTGAGGAGCTCTGTGGATGGACTCTTCAGATAAACTGGTGCAAATATATACATATTTTTAAATTTAATGTATCTGGAAATTGTCCAAAGGGCATATATCAAGTGAAGAAACGTTTATTTAACAAAGTCTATGAAAACTCAAACAAACAAAACAAACTCTATGCATATTTTCAAAACTCTACAAACAGTTCCTTTATCAAGTCCAAGACTTTAAACTAGAAAATGTCTTTAACCAGAATTTTCTTGTTTGACCATCTCTATTACCTAAACATGAGCAAGCAATTGACAAGCTCTGTTGTTCTAGTCTGCTTCATGCTGTTACAATAGAATACCTGATACTGGGTAATTTATAAAGAGCAGGAATTGATTGCTCACAGTTCTGGGGGCAGGAAGTCCAAGATGGAGGTGATGGTGGGTTTGGTGTCTGGTGAATGCCAGTTCTGCCTGGAATGTGTAGTCTTCATAGGGGCAGGATATGGTTTCTCCCATGGCAGAAGAGAGGAAGAACAAAGAACCCACTTGCACAAGCTCCTTAATAGAGGCACTAAAACCACCCATGAGGGTGGAGCCCTCATGACCTAATCACTTCTCAAAGCCTCATTTCTCAGTACCATGGCATCGGCAGTTGAATTTCAACATGAGTTTGGAAGGGACGAGCAGACCAAAGAATAGGTTTTCCAGATCTGGATAGAAGAAAGTAGAGGCCTAATTTATATCTGACTGCACGCTCTACTACTTAATATTAAGCAGGAGGCTGGCCTCATCTCACTATTATTCCTCCTGCATGCCTCTAGCCTTCAAATACGGCACAATATGTGGGGAAATACCTTTGCATCTCTTGAAACAATAGTTATCATGTGAAGTAAACAAAGGAAGTAAAAGGCCAGGTAAGGAGCTTGAAGCTAAGCTGAATAACACTGTGAAAATCCACTGAAATACTATCAAATTATTTTAGTGATTCATGAAAATAAATTATTTGGGGTCTTAAATATTCTACAGCTTGATTCTAACCCACCATGTGTATTTGTAGGGTCCTCAAACCAAGAAGGAATTTTATACTTCTAAATGCTTGAAAATAAATCAAAACCAAAATAATATTGATGCAATTCAGAGTTCAGTGTCTAAAACACACTCACAGCATTTGGTTGTATACTCTCTATGGCTGATTTTGTTGTTGTTTGTGGTACTCGGGATTGAACCCAGGGCTGCTCTACCACGAGCCACATCCCAGCCCTTTTTAATTTTTGATACAGGCTCTCATTAAGTTGCTTCAGCTGGCCTTGGATTTTTGATTCTCCTGTCTGTGCCTCCCAAATCTCTGGGATTACAGGCATGTGCCACCATGCCTATCACTATGGCTGCTCTCAGCCATGGAGACCATCTGGTCTGAATTGTCTTTATTATCTGCCCTTTTACAGAAAAATGTTTGCCTACCCTACAAACTTTGTCTCTTACTCCAGCCTCTCTAATACCTGCTTCTTCTTTCTGTGGTACTGGATTAATGGGTCTTTCCTCCACAGAACTGAGTTTCATGAGCCCAGGTCTACATCCTTGTGCACATGTACCAAGTACTTCACACCGCAGTGTGCACAACTGCAAAAGTAATTGAAATTTACTTTTAGATCATTCCCTCTATTTCATCATGAGGAACTAAACAAAAAGACTCCACAGTTTTCAACTGAGGTTCATTAATGAGGCTAATTTAGAATCTGAGAATGAAGAAGTAAAACTCTGTCCTTATACACATCAGGCTGTGACAATCCAGACTGGGACAGCTGCAGAGCCGTAAAAATAAACATAGTATATATTCTATATACTATATACATACATATTCAATATACTATATACCTCCACTTCTAACCTTTCCTGTAAAAATTAGCTGTTAAATTTGAAGGTGGCAGGATTATTATTTTCTTTCTTTTCAATCTGTCAAGTTACTTTACTTGGTACAAGTCTCACTGCTAAACAATTTCCATGGC